TTTTCCTTCGTGTTGTGTAAGGAGTTCGAATACGGCTTGCATTGCGGAGTCATTCGACACGTTTGTATAAAGGGCGGTAACGTCGAAGGACTCCATCACGCACGCGCTGTTGGGCTGCGCAGTACGTAGACGATCCAGAAATTGCATGAGTTCGGGTATAGTTTATCTGATCTCCTGTAAGACGTGTGGTGACGAATACATTGGCGAAACGGGTAGACCCCTCTGTGTGCGCATGAAAGAACACCTAGCCGGCAAAAATAGACCAAATACCCCGCTAGGCACGCATAGGACCCAGAGACATAACGGGGACGACTTCGAAGTATGTGTCACGATCCTCGCACGCGAATCAAGAACACAGGCGCGAAAAACTCTCGAGGCACTCTGGATTAATTCCAGAAATCCGAAAATGAACCGCAGGGAAGAATGCCTCATTATCACGCGTGATATAGGGCAGTATATAAAACTGCTTTTCTGTTGTGAGGGGCGCATTATACTTCCACGTGGTTTCTGTGCGGTTGGTCTCTACGTGACATACTTAGTGGAAACCTCATATTAAGCGGTGAGTTTGCAAAGCTGTCTTCAAAGTGATTGAAATCTTGGTTTAGAGTTTCTTTGTTTGGTTATGGAGGCGTCTGGCCGAGTAGATTGCTATCAACTTGTCGTTTCCAGGCTCTGAGGAAGGCGAAATCCGCCGAAACGTCAGCTTAATCGTGAACAAGGAATAATAACGCCTCGCGTTTGCTCAACAAAAATACGAAGAAAATTACTTGATCAATACCGAGGTTAATAGAAAGTCGGTGGTGATAGTAGTTTTATTTCTCAAAAATACCCTGCCGTTAAAAAGAATAGGTAGTAAAAAAGGTTAAGATTGTGATTATAACTATAGCTAACTGGGTTCAATGCCGATTTGGGCTTCCCAGATCAATCCCGTTCACGGGTGATTGCTGATGGTAAAAGATCCATAGAGCTCGCTGAAAGACAGGCGAAACGGAGGACCTGCATGGTGTGGTGGTGAACGCGTTACTCCCCGGAAAGGAAAATGGCGCGTTCGTTCCCCACCGCAGATACTTGCAGTCCGGAGTTTTGCAATTATCTTAGCATCATTACTGTTACATAAAATAAGGGAGAAAGTGAAGACGCGGAGCAATCAGTATCCAGGCGATTAGCTTTACTTCATGCTTGAACAGGGCGGTGAGGTCACAAAATCGGGCTGTCAAATGGTGGTTCCTTGCCCGGTGATTCTAAATTGAGATAGATCTAGAGCAGGCACGATGGCTTAATAACCAGTGATTTGATACGATAGATTACATGATAGAAGTAAGTAATACTACGAGGAATACATAATTACAATAAGGGACATGTTGTGGTGGAAGTTAGAGAATATCTCACGGGAAATATTCTCCGGAGATATGCTTCCTGAAAGGAGTAACCGCCCTCGAGAATGTACGAATTTGAAGTAAAGACCAGTTAACAGGTGCAAAAGCTGGGAACATTAATGGATTGGTGAACGCCTTTATAATTTTTATGTGAATAAAAGAAAGAGTCATTGTTCTATCAGTCTTGAGGAACATTCTTGAGATCAGGAAGTTTTGAGAAGATCAGAACCATATTTAACGCTCTCCCTTATGTGGTTATAGTCATCCTATACTTCCTTAACAAACTTTGCTCTTTTGTCTTCTTGCACTGTTTCTGACTGACCTCTGTCTTGAGATGACTTCCCTATTTACAGTGGGTTTTCTTGTTCACCGTTTCTGATTCCTTTGCAGTTTTTGATTCATTATGATGGTCAAAAATCCAATATTATCGCTTAGAACATGTCAGCTGACGAAGATTCCAACGTGTGACTTGATCATCTTCTCATCGAGAGTGGCATTGAAGAAATTGGAGATGTGAAGATTCAGTGCAAATAACTGAGAGATTTTTAGGGTTTGTTTATGACTGATATTTGGGTTACACTTGAGCTATAGCCAAGAGGAAATCTTGGTGGACTCAAGCCACTATTGGCGGCTTTACTGTAGGCCAGTTCTTCCGCCTGGTCATCAATGTTTTGCGAACTCTTGGTAGAACTGCAGTGCACCCCATTGGGCATTAGCGTGCAATTTCAATGACTGATTTCAAAGACTAATCTGTTACTTTGTTACGTTGGATGCGAGAGTGCTTCGACATTGTGTATTCCGCGTTCCGTTCGAGAAAGCGGCAGCGGTTCGAAAAAATGGAGCTGATGTGTGGGAGGTTACAAGGATGTTAGAGCCATCATGATCGGAAGTACGTTGCTTACGTGCTAGGGAGGTTAACACAAACGCAGTTATGGGCAAGAATTGTAAACTTTGATTCAGGATAGCTTTTGGGTACGCTGGAATGATTTCTGGGTAGTCCTCGATTTTGATTGTAAGGAAGAATTGCAGAATGTTATTGTTATCATTGTTAAGGAATATGATGTAGGACATACATTTGTACCTGTACTGTCGTGTATGTTCGTGTGTTAAATTCAAAATGTAAACAGTATATTGTAAAATAAGTATAAAATAAAAGCGTGGCAAGGCTTGATAAATGTTTCGAAAGACAAGCGGGGTTTAATCTCAATAATGAGCGCGTGCTCAATGAATGCTGAGCCCCTCTGAGGTTTTCTCCCTTAATGGTCTTATCATAACCAAAGCTTTCTCTAAATATCGATCTTATGCTAGCCAAAGATTTCCCCAAGTGTCGAATCCTAGAGTTCGAGTAGAGGCGTAGAGTGTCATTATCAATGATCATACTGTTTGTGCTGTACACTTTCTTCAACGGCAACAGTATATCGTCGCAAAATGATCTCATTCAAAAGAGATCTTTTAAATCACTAAGTGTAGAGAACAGCTTTTCTGACTTTGGATTTTCGCTTGACAAATCATGGAAGGAGTACAGAAAGCGCGATAAAAACCGCTGTAATCCACTTAAGCGGTGTGATACCATCTCGTGTGAAGTAGCCGTCAATGTGTTAAACATGTGGTATTTTATCCAGTGAACCCATGGTGACCCCAAAATGCATCATTTGTGGACTATGGACTATGGACTATGACTTGTGTGTTTTTAAGGCATCTTTTTTTTCAAAAATTTTCCAGTTCTTTCTAAATATTGGGTGTTAGAGTGATCTACAATTAAGACAATACTTCTTAGAAATCATATAAACCTTTAAGGTCATAGAGTAAACCTGTTTAGCAAGCTTAGCAACTTCTCGGATCTTGAAGTACTCCAGTTATCAAAAATCTAACGGCAGTTGTCTAAAAACTTACTTCTTTGTCGCAACTGTGTTAAAGGAAATAAAGACTTGGGTGTAGCTAAGGAGCAATAATGTGGTGAAGACAAGAAAATGGCATTGCTTGTGCACAAAAGGATGGACAAATTTTATCGCATGAGACAAGTTTCATGGAGCTATTTGCAACTAGTTCAAAGAAAAACCTAAGCTTAGAACGAATTTGTAGCAGAGCGTTTCTGATAAGAGCCATGTATTCTGCGTATAATTTTGAGTGTTAAAGTATGCTATAAAGATTCATGGCCCCTCCTTCTTCATCACCCCGCTAAATTAGGAATGGAAATGACCTGTAGTCATGTATCATTAGAGCCAACACTTATGTTCAATTAGGTGCTTTAAAACCGTCATCCATGCAGACGGCAGGTTTTTGTCTTTGAAAAACCATCAGCATCCGTTTATATAATAAAGCCATTCTGATTCTGGATTCTTGCTTAACACTTATGTCCAACTTGAATTGATTTCCACCCAAACGATGCTGAAATAACAGCGGATTTCAACTTTAGACCAACACCTGTTAGTTCAAAGTGAAGGCTCTTGATTCAAATAAAGGCCACGGGAATCTACTGATCTTTATCAAAGCATACATGGTCTCTTATTCTACCAAGATAAAGGCTTGATTTTATGTAACCCAGAGATCGTAGTTACTAGTACTAGATCGTCTGCTTTTTGCGTAATTGCTCGTATTTTAAAAACGAAAACGATTGAACATGGGACATTTCTTCCACTGGAATAGATGATGTCCCCGAATGATTTTTCATGGTTGACGAGGTTGGGATTTTGTTAGGAATTTTAGAAATTTCAATTTCTTCCTTGTTTCTTCTGGAGTTTATAATATTAAACAACTTCAGAGGTCAAATAATGGTTTGGTACCTTAAATTTACTGCCTATTATTTTTTTCGTAGAAGGATATGAAATATAACCACAAGGATGCTAAGATATTTGCAAAATTCCGGACCACAGGTGTCTGCAGTAAGGATCGAAGACGCTATTATCATTCCGTGGCTAAAGTGATCGCCACCACACCATACGGGTACTACGTTTCGCTTTTCTTTCAGCCGTTTTTTGTAGGTGCTATCACATAGTACATGTTTTGCAGGTACATGTAGCCATGGAAAAGATAATGAGTCCGATCTCCACCATAATCACCTGCGGTCCGGAGTTCTGCAAATATCTCAGCATCGTTGTGGTTATGTTTCAAAAATCAGTTTTAGAAGACCATACTTACTCATAAATAAGTAGAGAAAAATCTCTTCCATTAGTCCGTCAGCATTCAGGTTCCTAATTTACTCTAGTTGTCGAAGAATTTCAGCAGTTTGAGAAAAGCGTTTTCCGGACTCCAAGTGTTAAGGGTTGGAGAGGAAAGTCTTAATTATTTTTTAATTTACGAAAAAATGTGCCGTTATGGCCTAGATAAGGTTTTAAATCACTGTCTCTACGCTGTTCATTTGATAGGTTCGCCGTCAGTGTGTTCTCGAGCCTCCAGTTGCTTGGCTGCGCTGGCTGTTTGTAGTGGTCTACCAGATCATCTCATGGAAGCCATCGAAGCATTGATTTGCACAGAACGAACTGATCCTCAGGTGATCACGATCGGTTTAGCATCCTTTTTTGTGAACAAATTATTGATTAGTGATTTCTGGAAAGAGTAACGACTGCAGCACATTACTCTACCTTTCGATGTTACTGTATTTCTAGAACTTCAACTCTTCGTGCGATGAGCTACAAGTACCTGAGAATCTGCACCGATTAAGTGTTATGATTCAGCACAAGGCCTGTAAGGGTTCCGAAGCCGAGTATGTACTTAAATATTCTTTTTCTTTTAAGATTTCGCGAGTTTTCTTTCTTAACGCTCAGCAATTTTCATGCATTGAGTGCAATGAACTTGGAGAGAAAGTGATGGCGTCAACGTTAAGCCAGTACATCACGGCTCATGTTGAACTTTTTAAATCTAAGTAAAAGCACTAACATGTGTAGATCCCTTTTTCTACAACATACAAATCCCCTCGTTCTACCAATGCAAATTTATGATTTTTGTTTGGATCCGTGGAAGACATTTTTACTTTTACTTCATAAGACAAGGTATAGTTCTATAATGTATCGTTGGTTTTTGCGACTGTTGCTGTTGCATAGAAATCTTAGAAATTTGAATTTCACTGCGAGTTTTCTGGAAGTTTTAATTCTGAAGATATTTAAAGTTTTGGGGAGTAAGCCGCATTTTTCTGATAAGCACAAACGAGGTTGTTATCATACTGTTATATTAACTGTAGCGAACGGTTTGGCGGCTTTCGCCTTTTTCAGAGCCTGGAAAGGTCAACTTAACTACAGCCTGCTCGCCCATGTGCCTCTATAGCCTCAACAGAAGAACTGCGAAACCCAAATTTCAATCATTAGAAGCAAAATGCAGGGTTATTTATCAGTGCCGAGATTAAGGGAAAGTCGGTCTTGGGAATTTTAAGACTGTTTTATACAAATAATGCATATTATTAAGAAGATAGAACGAGTCATTTCTATAAATATATGCCCTTTTCAACTTCGTAAATGCTCTAGTGGTTGAGGACTACTGTCATTTGGAAACCAGGATTTTATTATGTAATGAAAAAACACGATTGCAGAAGGGCTTCTTGGTTCGAAAGACCATTGCATGAGCATAAAATACTGTGTACTTTTGACTTGCCGACTTTGCCGCCTGACTCGTTTTCGGAGACTCCAGATGACGACATGAGGTTGCAAAGCTCCATAGCTTGTGATGGTACGTACTATTTCATATTTAGAAATGTGAGCCGTGTTTTTCGAAACGTCAGGAAGTCATAATTTTAGTGATGAACAATCCTAAAGATTTAAGATCACAATGTTAACTTTTTAAATCTGTTCTTCTCTTTTTTACAGTAATTACGAGGTTGTTACAGCACACATTTAAAGCACACTTCCTCACAAATATAACACATGCAACACAACGGTAGCTGACATTTCAGCAGTATCGCCTTCTTCAGAGCCTGGAAGGGTACACTAATATGTAATTTACTAGGTCAAACGTTTCAACGACGCAAACAGAAAGGTGAATATGAGAGATTACACATTAGTGTATCCTTCCAGGCTCTGAAGAAGGCGATATTGCCGAAACGTCAACTACCGTTGCGTTGAATGTGTTATATTTGTGACGAAGTAAACGTGTGCTGAATAACAACCTCGCGATTACTGTAAAAAAGGGAACAACAGATTTATAATCCAATGCCGAGGTTAACAGAAAGCCGATCTTGGGAACTGTTAACTTTTTACTTGATAGAAAACCACCTGAGAGACAGGTGAAACGAAGGCCCGCATGGTGTGGCAGTGAACATGTTAGCCCCCAGAAAGGGTAATAGTGTGCTTGATCCCCACTGCAGAGACCTGTGGTTCGGAGTTTTGCAGATATCTCAGCATCATTGTTGTTTTATCTCACACAACTCCTTGCTGTGAAAAACCGTAGTAGGCAATTAATAAAAAGTTAACATTGTGATTTCGACTACAGCCTCGGCTTGACTGGGTTTGATGCCGATTTGTGCTCCCCGGATCAATCCCGGTGACGGTTGATTGCCGATGGCACTAGTAGATAGAAAACAATATATAACAATCTTGTGCTGCTTCTTAAATGAAGCAAGACATTGATAAGGGATAAGTAACGTATAAAGCTCTCGGCGTTGATCAATCCCTGAGCGATGCGCCATGGATCCGACATTGTTCAGCATCGTTAGAGGTGATTAAATGCTTATCTGGTTTATACAATCGCGGCTTACCAATGACCTCGCGGCGGCCTACCGATGTATCGATCCAGTGCTGCTATTTTCCTGTACAGCTCTGCTATAAATTTGTCGACCCCGAAGGGATGAAGGACTTTGAGAGCACGAGGCGCAGGGATCGATATCATATATATTGCAGGCGGCCCTAACAATCGCTTCGTGCGCTACATCTTGGAGTAAATAAATGGCCACTCCACTCCACCTTTCTGGTACTACTTTGAGTGGACCATGTAGCCTCATGGTCAACTGATTTAAGATTTTTCCACAAATCTAAGATTTGTGGAGTAAACAAACCGTCAAAAGATTTCAGTATAGTGTTGTTTTCTCTTAGGGGTAGATGTGATTTCGTATGTTTGGGAGGTTTCAAAATGTTTGTACAACGTCTACTGTTTACATTTTGTATGTCATTCTTCTACAGGTGCATACATCTATCTTCTGAACTATATTGGCTTTTATAAGATCGGCTGTGGACTCCAAGAGACTGTGCTAGGAAAATTATATTCGTCAAATAATTCGATTAAAGCCACGTTAGTCTTTTCAGTTACGTGTCACTCTAATTTGTACATATGTTCTCCCTTTTCTTCGTTCTTCTATGTCTTACTATTTGAACTCTTTTGAAGTTTTTGGAAGTATTATGCCCTCTATTGCAGTAGAAATTGTCTACTATCCTTTTGCAATGGGTCCCTATATCTGCGAAGAGGACAATCGTCATGCGTATCAGTCATAGATGTGGACTCATTAAGGGACATTGGAGAGGTATAATCTCAGCAGTTTTTTCTTTATTTTTTATCTTTCTTATAACCACTTTCTTCTTCTTGTGTTGGTTTCTGAAACACTTCTTTTATTACAATGATGCTGAGATATTTGCCAGACTGCCTACCGCCGGTGTCTGCGGCGGGGATCGAACCTCATTATTAGCCTTTCCAGGGAACAATGTGGTTCACCACTATATAAAAGAAACTATGAGGGTTTTTCGTTCGAGCTTTCTCTCAGCCGTATTTTATAGATGCTATCAGCAATCACCTGTCAACGGGACCGATCTGGGGAGCACATGTTGCCAGTAAACCCAGTTAGGCTGAAATTGTAGTATAAATCACCTGCAGCTTAAGCTTAACTGGATTCAATGGTGATTTGTGCTCAGAGCAATCCTGTTGACGGGTGACGCCCGATAGCCCCTATAAAACATGGCTGAGAAAAAGGCGAGACGAAGGACACGCATGGTGTGTAGTATGTTAGCTCTTGTTAGCTTTGATCCCCGTAGCAGACACCTGTTGTCCGGAGTTTTGCAAATATCTCAGCATCTTTATGGTTATATTTCACATAATCCTCTCCGATAATAGAAGAATAGGGAATAAATAAAAAGCGATTACTTCTTTCATTTTTCGAGGTTGGTTCTGTCCAATTTCTTCTTGAAATATCAGTGCAAAACGTCTTGGTTCTGAGTCTAAACGTTCTTTTCAGGTGGTTCTACCCACAGACTGTATGCAGACGGCTTTGTTTTCTGATGGTTCGTCTTTCTATCACGCTTCCGTTACCTCACAATCTACACTTCACGTGGGCTTTCGAAACTTCACAGTATCTGTATTAACCGTATTATTAAATATTTCACTATTTTTCGCTGTATTTTCTTCGTTTCTTCTTGAAACATAGGTGGTATGTGGTTTTTTTTAGTTAATACTCCTTAATGATTCATTTGTACCGGTCGCTGAGCCACGGTCTCGACAATCTGTGCGCCTTACTGATGTCTCTTTTTGTTCTATGGGTGACACAAAATCAATTTCACAACAGCTTTTAACAACTATTCCGAAGTATTTGCACAGTGAGTTGACGATTCTTAACTACTGTTATTGAAGGATTTTTTTTTATTTTACCTGACCCAACACCACATCATGTGCGCATCTCAGCACTTTTTGCCTTCGATTCGTTTCCACGCATCCATTACCCACGAAGTTCTTCGAACATTAACGAACGGGTTCGGTTTCTTCATTTCCCTTTCTTTTTTCCATTCGTCATGAATTTCGTCGAATGATTCTTGAGTCGATTCTCCTTGGATTTCTGCGATAAACGTGCTGGAGTGTTCACTCGAGGATTAGAGGCAGTGAACTGATCCCTGTCAGGTGTGGTACAAACTCCCCAGCCCTGGAGGGATGGGAGTTTTGGTGACAGCTGCTGGAGACCAACCAGTGCCTTGCTGGTAATGAACGACATGGATGTAAATGTGCTACCGTGCCACCATTTCAAGAAATATTGGACAAAAGTGTTTCAGTCAGTCTCTATCAATGTCAACATTAATTTTAAACCACTTGTAGCTTGTACAATGTACAAATACTATTAAGGAGACATTAGAAATTGGGTATTAGAAATATGATAATCTATTATGTCCATATGCGTTCAGATCAAACGGCCGACTTTCACATCGGAAAGGATATATCTTTTTTACAGTCAAAATCAGGAAAAATTTACTACGCTGGAAATGGGATTAATTATGGCTTGCAAGTAAGTTGGTTGAAATTATTTTCTATGAAAGGTTTTGCTTTCATAAATCATGCTGCTACGAAATAGATCGAAATTTTTGCCTGAGACTAGTCATATTTGTTAAGGAAACCGGTACGACGTGGATGGAGCTGGTATTACCTGAAAGCATTGTAGAAATGTCAGTGGGTGCGGAGTATGCTTTGTTTCGTGCAGGAAGCGGACACGCATGGATCGCTGGTGGTGATGATGGCAGACGCACTGGAAAACTGAGAAGGTTGTTAACAATGAATAGGTTTGTTTCATATTTTTGTGACACTCTGATTTCAAAGTTAAATTTCAGTGGGTATATTTTGTATTGCCTCCCAACGGTTTGCCGCCACATCATGACTGCGAGACGTTCCCGGGTGTCGGGCTGTGATGCACAGCCGGAGATTCATCCCTTCAACAAGGTCTCCCATGTTGAGGAGTTCGGCGTCTGCATCAGGAAGTGCACCTAAGAGTAAACCAATACCAGGATCCACCACTGTCTTGATATCAAACTATTCGCATGGTAGCAAATCACCCTCTGATCCACAAAGGCGGCTACTACCTAAGGTGGTAACTATCTGGCGCAGACTTTGGCTTGGCTAACCTCGGTACGCTAAGACACCACAATGGCTAAATCGGCAAGACTCTGAAGACACAGAAATTATGCTGGGGCCTGCACAACCAGTGAAGACGGGCCATCCGAGTATCCAAGTATATTTTGGATTGAGTTTAACTTTGGTAGAAGAAATACTCCGGACCCATAATACCTATTTCAAGTGTTATATAGATATGTATTTCTTCAAAAAATTCTCCTGAATTTTAATGAGTTTTGCCTTCATCATTCATATTTTCTTCATAGAAGCATATTACCCAAACTTTTTTACAAAGTAGCTCTTTTTGGTTTTAAGATGTCTGTGCTAAATTTACTTTTGTAACTGGTTAAGGAGAAAGACCCAGTCCATTAGCTGCGCAGCTGGTAGTTACGGCTACGTCACCGATAATGGACGAGTCTATGTTGGCGGTCGACATGGTATGAGTGTTTATCCTGAAACTGGACAAATCCTTGGATTGGATGGGACGCATATAGTAGGTTTTAACTTGAAAATACTAGTAAAACGAGTTCATTGTGGTAATTCATTGGGACAGCACCGACAAAGCCTTCCTGAGCTCAGAGTAGAGTATCATTACCGATTCATCTGTAATCGCATCGATTTCTTATCTTTTGCTCCTAAATCGACTTTTTTTTATAGTCATCAATCGTACTAGGAAAGACACACGCTGTGGCCGTATCGAAGCAGGGCTATGTTTACACTTGGGGACTGAATAATCTGAACCAGTGCGGAAGAGTTGAGGTATTTCTTTGGATGTGAAAACACTTATTTTTGTGGCGTAATATCGTAATATCTTCAATCCCACTTCCAATTTCTTGCCACGTTTTGTGTTTGCAATCGTACTGTGGTTCTCCACACATTCTCACTACATAGTTCGTCTGTGTTGTTTTCTGTTCTTAAATTATTTCGTTCAAGAAAACTAGGCACCATGTGAGGAACTTTCCAACGGCTTTGTTTCTGTGATCGCTGTTTACTTTTATCATAAACGAACTCCGATAATACGCTAGTGATCCTTCGTTGCCACTGTGAAGTCTTTTAATCAAGGAAGTTGAGAAAGTGAATAAAACGACCTTGGATCTACTCGAAGTATTTGCTCTCCAAGATTCCAATTGTGACGCTGAAAGTTCATGAATAGAACAAAATATTGTTGATGAAGCTATTTTATTGCTTGGAAAGAGTTTGTAACAATGACAGTAAAAAATTTGTATTAGCTATGTGAAGAAAGTGGTAGTTAGCTGGGTGTGAACATAAAGATATCCATTTTGTTTGAAGTGTTCCGATAGAGACCATTTAAAATCGTCATCCTTGTGAATCGTGTGAACGTTTACCTTTGTTGATGTAGAGGAATGAGCTACCCCTGTAGCAGATCATTTTTGTTTATGAACGTAGATATTGCACTCTAATACAGGACTAAGAATAAGAGACACTTGGTTAGCGAGTACACATAACATTTCATGTGGTAAGGTATGGTATGCGCGTGCGGCGCAGTGGTTGTAGGCACCCTGCGACACGCACGTGAGATCGATCACCGCGCACGTAGCTCGCCACGCCTTCCTTCCCTTGGAGGTTGGCAATTTGGTACCAGACTTATCTGGGAGGATAGCAGCGCTGGCTCGATATATCGGTAGTCCACCACGAGCAATTGTAAAGGCTGGATATGCATTCAATCACCTCAAATGATGCTAAGTGAAGTCGAATGAATGGCGCATCCCTCAGGGACTGATCAACGCCGAGAGCTTAATCCTTTAGCCTTTAAGGCAGATTGAGTATAACCTACCACAAGCTAAGCAGTGGGGCAATTTACTTACTGCTGTACGCTACAGTGCCACGTTTCAGAATACGTTCTTAAGGATGATGTAACTCTGCGCCAAATGCCAGAGCTATGCCAAAATCAACGTAGGCTCACTCAAACAGCGATAGATAGATTATCTTGAGTTGTAAAATTGACATAAAAAGAACTTTTATGTGATTGAGGAAGCCTTGCACGTTATACATATTTACTAAGTGGTGTTTCTATCACCCCGGTTTCCTCAATACAAAATAGCTTATCCGTTTACCACATTTCTGGTTTTACCAGTGTCTGGAATGTGGCAAAGACTCCTCATCGCAAAACCAGCGGCTTTCTTCCGTGAGGTTTCAATTTCTGCAGGTAGAAAGTCGGTTGTTGAAGGCGATACAAGAGGTTTACATTGAAATTAATAAGTAAGGCTAATAAACCGAAAGTAAATTGATAACTTGATATGTATTCTTTCAGCTTACACAAGTTGATAAATTATCGCTCATTAATTTATCAACCTAGGGCTTACTAAAGAAAGAATACATATTGACTAGTCATACCGAGGCTCAAGAAAAGGGGGTTTCGAAATATTAATAACTCAAATTTAGTAAATATTAAGTAATAGAGATTAAATAAACCATTAAATAGTAACAAATGCTGCTTTTAAAACGCTTGATTTTTCCTCCTTTGTAAGGCGTGGTCTTTTTCATACAATTAATTCAGCAAGCACCGACCTCATCGTCAGTTTCGTGGCGACGGCGTTCTGTGATAGTTTGCGAACCCTCTGAACACCTATTTGTTAAGGTGTGAATTTTCTACCAAAACTAGAATCGATCTTTTATTTCAAGAAGACTCATGTGTTTAGGATCTTCCATCGTACTGTGCTCAATGCGGTCTTTGTTCAGCACGTGGTTCAGCTTGTCCATTGCAAGATTTTGCTGGGAAGGCGGTGACATGCAGTTGTGGACCGGGCGAAACAACTTGTCTTAGGTCTCTTATGATCTTCTTTTCGGAACTTATCTTTTTTTTATTCAGATTATTGCCCACCTCCGCTTAATAATTAATGAACTATGGAATCTTCGCGGAATTTATGCATTCTTGGCTGTCCCATTGAGTTGTTCAACAGTGATAGTGGTCCTCCCAACAGGGGTACCGGCGAAAACAAGTCGTTTGACCTCAATTAGGAGCAAACCCGTGTAGTTGCGTAACCCAGCAGATTAACCGTTGGTATTTTCGTCTGAAGATTAGGAATAGAAAGACACTCCTTTTACCCTCAAAACAAACAGCATCCGATGGGTTTGGGAAGGAGTACGGGTACGAAAAGAGTGCTGTAATCTCAAAGCCATTTTAAATTCCGCAAGTCTGGGAGGATTGTGATACTACCTGGGGACGGAATGTAGCACCATAAGCTTCCGTGAATTATCTGATGGTGCAGGCTAAAGAGATCAAGGATGACGCTGTCAAATCATTATAGGGGATAATCTGACTAGGAATAATATGTCTTTATAGATTGCATGGAATATGGTTCAGGATTGGTTTAGTGTTTCGGCCTAGTTTAATTCTGAAAATCGTTCTTTTTAACAATTAAAGTCAAGTATTGAATATTGTCTACGTGGTATATCTACATCTATTATTAGAAATCTCGAAAGGTCATGTGATCAAAAGCTCAATCCTAATCTGAGTGGCAGTTCAGTATAGCATTATCCAGTGAGAGGGAGACTTCCAGCGATGATATCAATGTAATGGCGTCGAAAGAGGTTAAAGCCAACTCATCACAAAGGTACTAGGAAACCTGAGACGCTAAAAACCAGTAGCAGGGGTTTCTGTATTGAGACTGCTGCAGCAATACCTTTTCCACCGAATTAAAGCCTCCGATTTATGAGAAGTTGTAATGAGTACTCTATCAGTTTCTCCCTTCTCGTTAGTTGAGTCTTATTCATGAGCAAAAACGACTTCATGATCAGATCGTCGCCATTCTGAACTGTCGCCGTGGTAGATGTGGTAGATGGTAGATGTGAGCAAAAGGGGCAAGTCCCTAATCCACCTTCCTCATTTTCGGCTTTAGGATCCTACTTCTAGAGGTCGTAAACTTAGCACTGTGAGTGAAGGACAGCATTGTGGGAGACGCTTTAGAGAGGATGCTGCAAGGAGTACCCATATCACGGAACGGGAGTTGGAAACCCGGGAACACTACAGTATACAAAAACGATGGGTTTTTTCGAGATTACGAGCGCGAGGCTGGAAGACCGCTGATTGATGACTGGATTTCCTCACGAACTTCGTTGCAGAAGAACATATTGTTGTTTATGTACCTCAAACGAGCTGGGTGGCTCTAGCACACGATAGGGGCGAATTGAGACCAGTGAGCATCCGCTCGAATTAGACAGGTGGTAGAGATGGCTTGTATTGAGTAAGGTTTATTCATGTTCCAGTTGATTGGCATTTAAGATGCGGTGTTTGTCGTACTTGTGGCGAATCTACTCAACCTCGACCGGATGGTGACCAACCTGCTCGAACTTACCTTACCCCAGCTCGTGTGAACATCGTAAAAGCTCAGCAGAACGTAAAGGTTTGAATTGTCAACTCTGCTTTTACATTCAATCTCGTTACCTTAACCATTTTAGATCTAGCCTGTGTTCATGAAATTTCATGCGAATACAACATCACTAACCTAGTTCCATTGAATTTTCGCTTTGTAGAGTAACAAAATCTAACTCGAATCTAATTGGTAGACGTAATAATTTAAAGGTTTATTTGAAAATTTTATACAGTACATCTCTTGGCTGCCAGGTATCATCAGTGAGCTGTGGTAATTTCCATACGGTACTATTGGCCGCAGATGGCTCAGTGTTCTCATTTGGTTCTAACTGCCATGGTCAGCTAGGCACTGGGGATATCAACAGCAAAATAGAGCCACAATTGGTAAGGTCGATGGCTATCTTTTTTAAAATTGTTTTTTTCCACATTTCCTTCCATTTATTCTGTTTCGTGCCTAAGAACTTGATGTTAAATGACTTCCATTGTTCTGAATAAAATTGACCACTGCTTGCAGGTTCTTCTGCCGTCAGATGTTCAAGTGGCTCAGGTTGCTGCCGGTGCCAACCATACCGTTTTGCGAACTACGCTAGGAGCGGTTTACACTTTTGGCGCTCATAGGATGGGGCAATTAATTCGGTTCGACCTTGCTATTAAATTAAATTTTGGAAGATTTTCAACTTATGGAGTAAATATTTTTAGGCCGTCAAATGAGGATCATTACTGGCACGCTGTGCCTGGCAGGGTTCCAGGATTTGGTCCAGGTTGTGAATCGTTTGCAACTTGGATTGGGGCTGTCGGTGATGTTACGCTAATACATAGTCACACTGTTCTTTTACACCCAGAGGACATTATCGGCGCACAGCTGGTGGCAAGCAAGGTGTGATCTCCCTGATTCATCTGTTGAATATCGTGGATCGTTTTCTCAAGTTCTTGTACTGCTTTTTCACCATTTTCGTTTGTGAGGATGTGTTCTGTCGCAAGCTTCTTCACTTTTATTTTTATAATTGGGGTGTAGTGATCTCCGAACATCACAGTACGTTTACATATTTAGTCTGATGACTACTCGGCTAAATGGGGTCCTTGACGCTTTATCATTAAGTTAGTAGTCATACTTCGATGCCCGAGTCACTCTTTTTTAATGCGAGATCGAGCACAATTTCAGTTTTGTTCAAGTGACCACTCTAGACGGTTCCTATATTTTTTACGAACTCAGTCAACTATATATTCACCGTTTATCTATCATTCACTATTTTCGTCCCAAAGTCGTCCCAGCTGTTTCCCTCTTTTTGTTTTTGTTAGTACACAGCGAAGACATAATGGTATCATCGGAAAAGGAACTAGGAATTTTCTCCAACCGAAAGATTCCATTACACAACTGTGGAAGCTCTGCTTTCTTGGTTTATTTTTAATCGTGCTTGTGTAAGTAAGGTCTACTGCTTAATTAATGAGTTAGAGTGCTTTTCTTTCTGAAACTATAAAATGCTGTTTCTTCATGGACAAAGGTTGGAATGAAGGAAAAATAGTACGCACGGTACACTTTGTCTCTTACTATTCTTCGCTTGGTTTCCTAAGGAGGCTTTCTGTGATTTTTAAATTAGAGTAGAACTACGGAGAATCAGAACTGGGACGAGATCGGACCAACCACCATGTATGCATTGCTATACGCCACAAACCACTATGCAACGAGAGCTCTCACAACTTCGTGGTATACTATTACATACGTTATTATGTGTTAAATTTTAGCGTGATCTATTCATTTTCCCACGACAAGTTGGCAAGGAATATTTGGCAATCCATAGGAAACACGGTAATTTTTCGCATCATAGTTTGGGACCATGCGGATTATATACCAGGTGGGAGAGCTCTTTTCCACTTCATAATTCTTCTTTTAATTTCTAATCGGTCTAGTTGGTGCTTGGAGTCTCAGTACGATATTCTTTGGTCGTACAACGCAGCTGAGATGCGAGTACAAGCAAATTCTGTGCATTTGAGTACACCAAAAGAAGTGAGCTTGCAATTCCTTGTACCAGAATTCGTATGTTACTTACGTCGAAGTTCGAAAGTGTAATACTTTTCTACTGTATTCTATCATTAAATTACATTTGGAAACATTTAGATCCATCCTGATGGTTTGAATTCTTTGGCATTCTTACATTCTCCCGAATGGGCAGTACCACTAGAGAACCCCTCAACTTGCTCATCTGTACAGTTAGGAATGTCGCTACTTAGTTGCACTTATTCGGCTATGATTATTACTAAAGGAAGACTTTGGAATGAGAAGGTAAGACGCAAAAAGCTCTTCTTTCAAAACGTAGTATTCTAGCGACTCGTTGTACAATCCCGGCACCTTGTACTGTTTGAATTGTGTGGTTGTCAGGATTTCATAACTTCTCCCGAACATGGCGAATCGAGAGCCATTGGTCGTTCAGTGGTTTGTCGATTTGATTCTACAGGAGGAGGTTTGTTTTCATTTTGAAATGTGGTAAACCAAAAAGTGGAATCCTCAGCACTTTGAAGGGGTTTAATAACCTCTTCGAGAACGTGAGGTTATGTCGAGGAAACAATATTGTTGTTCATCCGAACACTTTATACACTCGAATTTCTCTGCGTTTGCCTCGCATTTTTGCACTGTTTGTGGCGTCTCATCTAAAACGATATTTTTAGTTCAGTAATAAGTAGATTTTATGGTTAAACATGATCTATCAGTGAGTCGTCGACAAGAAAAATGTTACAACATTGATAAGGTTATTTATAAACTTCACCTTCAGGGTGGGGGTATTCTCCACATTCTATTGAAGCCATTCAAGTAAAAACGAACAAGGAAGTACGCCTACTTGGTATTGGCTTGTATGGCGGTCGAGGAGAATATATTGCAAAGTGGGGTGATAATTGGTTTTCCAATACTTGTGTAGTGAAATTTAGTTCAGTTGCGTGATTCAGAATAAAGATTTTCCGTCTGCCAAGCGATGGATCGGATGAACAGTGTGCAGAGCTCTTATCCGAATCGGATGAAACACTTTATGATTGTGGACAACGAGAAGCAGCTGCGTTGATGCTTGCGCAACCAGTGCTCATGAGGGCCAATCACTGGCATGTCGTTAGTGCAAAAATCAGGTGGGTTTTGTTCTTCATGAATATTTTGCGTATTTGTTGTTCCACTCCATTTTCTTTTTTGTTAGTTTTCCTCTCCATCTCTGGTAAACCTTTATTTTGACACTTAGGGCTCTTGTAGAATAATATCTTCTTGCTGCAGCATCTAATTCACTTTTTTTTTCGCCATACTCATTATGGGTTGCCTATTAATTTGTGCTGGTAGATCTGCCAACGCATAAAAGGACACTAATCTTTCCTTCGTTGTCTTTTCTGGTCCATATTTCAATGCTTTTTGTTTTCTAAATATCCTCTAGGCTTTTTTAATGTATTGTCCTAATATTCTGGGACAGTTTGAACTGTTGTGATGATAAGTGACGCGTCCACCATCCAACCACGACGCTTTCAGCAGCTGGTAGTAGTTCTGCGATGTGTATAGAGTATGTCAGTACTTTTTTTATATCCACTCATTTCACTCAATAATCATGATCCATCATAGTTATTGGAAGTGAAACAACAATCAGTTTTTCCCGGATGGTGTAGTGGTGAAGTGCGCTGTTCCCCGGTAAGGACAACAGCGCGTGTTCGTTCCCCACTGCACACACCTGTGGTCCGGAGTTTTGCAAATATCTCAGCATTTCATACGAGTTATATTTCGCAACATACCCTGCCATTTAGAAGAAAAAGGCACTAAATAAAAGAGTTAAAATCAGTTTTTCGTTAAAATCGTTTTCATGCATCATACAGAGTGAATGATGCAGGTTTTTCGGTAATTAAAATACCTAAGAAGTTGAGAATCTGATATATCCATAGAAAAGCCTTGGTCTATCGTTCTAGAGGTTTTCTTTTACATGGCTCATCATAATATCTACTGTGTGAATCTCAGAATTTCCGACTTTTGATTCGTTTCTTCGCATCCATTGTCCACGATGGTCTTCGAACATTTCAAATATGGCTTCGGCTACCATATAAGAATTTCCATCTTCGTTATGAATGTCGTTGAATGTCGGTCGAATCGATTATACCTATAATCTTGGGATAGCCCAGTTGAGGAGTTCTTACACGGATTGAAGTGAGTGTGTTGGCTTCAGTTAAGTCTGACCTCGGGGTTCCAGGAAACCGTAATGGCTCAACCAGCAAGAGTCCAATTTATAAAATCCAGAAAGAGGAAGAACGGTGGAAGACGTCGCACACGATCATCATACCCGGAAAACGTGATCGAAAGGTTCTTCGTAACTACCGTCCAATATGATTCTTGAGAGTACTCTGCAAGGTGTTCACGAAGATTATCCCTTTGCACACATCGAAGTCCTTGGCTGAGGCACAACTAGTTGTGAAAGTAGGATTCTGACAGAGATTTTGCTTAATTGACCATATCCAAACGGGTTACACAAATCTTGTGGGCACCATGTGCTCTTTGTCGTAACCTTTATCAACTAAATGAAAACGGAGCCTGGAAGGGTCAAATTGAGATGCTATCTACTCAGCCAGACACTTTCATAACCGTAGCAGATAAAACATAACAAATAAATTTGCATTCGCATAAGAAACGGCTTCATATAAACACCTACCGTTTATTTGTTGTAAGTATTTAAGTTAGTTGGTGGACAGCAGCCGCACAGAGCAATACATGGACGATAACTGTGTCTGTGTCTGGTCATTGGATTAGGCTGAGGTATGGCCCCAGCTCACGCGTGATGACAAGACACTCCTTGCTGTTCATTTTTGAATTTTTGGAACTGATCCAAGACGCTTCAAGAGTTTTTCGCGCTGATGTTTTCGATTCCTGCGTAAGGATAGTGACTCCTACTTCAAAATCTTCTCCGTTGTGTTCCTGCATCCTATGCGTGCCTAGTGGAGTGTTTAGTTTTAATTTAGATTTACCGACTAGGTGTTCTTTTATGCGGACGCAGAGCGGTTTACCCGTTTCGCCAACATATTCGTCCCCGCACTCTTTACATTATCACCACTCCTGATTTGGAAAATTGCTATCGCGTTTGTTCGTATAGGGTAAAGGCACTGGCTCGATGCATGGACAGAGTCCCGAAATTCATTGTTTAAGCCAACTATGTATTCATTCTCTTCTGCCATGTCCAATTGAATATTTAATCGTGTATAAAATATGTAAAGTGTAAGCTTTGCCGGTTATAGTGGCTTCAAATAGTGGGCTAGATTTTGAAATGTTTGAAATAATTGCCGTTTATGCAGTAAGTCTATTCGAGCGCGGTCTTTATAGAATCAGCGTAATATCATGAGAATAAGATTTTAAGATAGGGAAAGTTTTTGAAAATACATTGATGGACCTCTTGGCCCTCTGCATGGAGTTTGTTTTGGCGACACTGAATGTTCAGCAGTGGTACAGTCAGTGTCCAACACCAGTGTTCAGCGACAGCAGAGACGTCACGGTATCCTCCTCGAAAGCATTTTTTTTTGGTGGGTACCTGTTTTACCACCAAAATTTTCGCCAATAAATAAACTTGTCTAAGAAGCAATTTCTTGAAAATTATTTAATGCAGATCGACCGTTTCCTAGCAAACTGGTCTCTGCTAAGTAAGCACCGAGTTAATGGGAGCAAAAAAATGCAGCAAAAAGACCTCCATGCTGCAAAAAAAAATGACGTCCGTAGAGGAAATGAATTGGTATGGATTAGCGTCGGTCGATCTGCTGCACCACGTAGAAGTGAAATTGCACTGACATCGGGCTCTAAATGTTAACATGAAGCTTTTGTCGGTCACATATTTGTTGTGTAATACGTGAAAAGGAGTTGCGAGAAATGAGTTTTCTAGTTATTTTTTTAGTGGTCCATCGTCTGATTGCGGCGCAACTGGTCGTCGAGTAGTTGAGTCTAGTGACGACGTGATATTCACCTTTCGTAACTCAGCAATCTCCAATAATGGTACGGATGTAAACGTCGGACAAATACCAGAGTTGTATTACCAGGTATATAAAAGTCGGTCCTAGCGTATATTCGATCTCCTAAGTATACGCCATGCATTGCACTCTCTTAAGTATTGTAGAGGTGTTAGATGTATAAGTGGTCTTAACAATGGCTTTCATGGGCCTACCAGTCTATAAAATCAGTGCTGATCTCTTCACACCCAATTCGCAATTTGCCAGTCTAGAGGTAATGGAGTATTTGATTTTTTGAGAGAAGAGTTAGAATCATCGATCGTGTGTGTTTTGCAGAACAGCACTAGCCATTGCGCTGCAACGAATTTTTGTAACAGATCAGAATAACACAATAGGAGCAAAAGGCTCGAAAAAGGCCAAATAGCGTTTGTTAACCAGAAGAGTTAGCTGCTACGTGTTAGCTTCCGGTGAAGATTAAGAACTTTTGGCTCAAAGTATATTTTCTAGATGAGGCACGTGTAGCGTAGCAGTTAAATATGCCGTGCAATACACATCTGGTCCTTGGTTTAACCCGGCGCATCGCTCTTACCAAGCTTTCCATCAAATAAATTCCCGTTAAATAATCACTCCTTTGTCGGCAAATTGCTGCCACAATTGTCTGGAAAAATAGCAGCACTGACACATTGGTAGGCCATCACAACTGGGCCACTCACCTTCACGATACCTGATGAAGTCGAAAGCATGACGCATTCCTCAAGTACTGGTCATCGCTGAATACATTATCGCTCTTCATCCTTGTCTAATTTTAAAAGCAAAAGATCATTTTTATAATTGGAAATTGAGTATAACTGGTCCTATTTGACACTAATATTACTGTATAAAAGTGTTCAAATATCACAGTAGCGCGAGAGCTAGTTTTTTATGAGATAAATTAGGTAAAGAAAACTTTTACAACTCAACTGTATGACAAAGGTCTTGATCGCTTATCTTGAACATTATTAATTGAGCAGAATCTTTCTGAATCCACTATATTGCAATCTAGGCGGTGGATCATCCTGAAATTTTTAAAACATTTCCTTTTTTGATAAACTTATTGACAAATGTTAACTTGAGAGCTTATAGCTGTAAAATATGAAATTTCACCACTCGTTTTTGTCAAAGATTTTCTCTGTATTCAATACAGATCATTACCACATCACTTACTATCATTAATACAACATTACACGCTTGGATAATTGAAAGGCCCTTCTTCACTGGTTGTGCGTATTCCAGCATAATTTCCATTCTCTGGAGATTTGCTGGTTTAGCCACTGTGGTTCCTTGGAGTCTTGAGGACAACCTGGCCAACGTCTGCCCCAGGTCGTCACCACAACAGGCAGTCGCGGCTCTTGTGGATCAGAGGAAGATTTGCAACCATGCGACTAGTTTGATACCGGGATGGTGGTGGATCTTGGTATTGGTTTACTCTTAACTGGGATTCCTGATGGAAATGTCGTACTCTTTCTCACCTTGGGAAGCCTAGCTGGGGATGAATCCCGCCGCTGTACATCGCAGCCCGACACCTACGAACACCTCCCAGCCACGATTAGGCGGTAAGCCGCTGAGGAAAATCCAACATTGACTTCACTAAAAATATTTCATGTGGAGCGAAGACGAACGAGAAGCTCTAGTCGCCGTATAAGTATCGTTGTTTTTTTATGTATTTATCGTATGTTACTTTTGAAGGTTGCCTCGTTTCCTGGTGATGGACCATCTTTTGCGAACGAAAAACGGGATGAGTAGTGAGTTACTTTCAAGGTTTTTTCCTATAACTTTGCAACAGTTCTGTTGCAGAAATAGACTTTAGTGTAAATATGTGTATAATCTTTGTCTAGCACCAGTCTACGTTTGTTTTCGTCTACTTCTATGGATACTATATCACCAAGTACTCTCCTCGCCCTCCTCCGGGTTTTGGACTGGTCGTTTACTCGATTGTTTGAGTTCCAAAACAGAGCAGATCAACAGCTGTGGAATGTCGAACGAGCTGCAGCCATTGCACTGATTAATATGCGAATTTTGAGGTCAGGGAGCAATAAATTCACGCAATCCAGGAAGTTATTCAAGTTCCTTTAGTCGTTACGTCCTCCTTATCTACTCTCCTACCAGCTACGAGGAGCCGCCGCTTGAATTTGCTGAAGCGGTATCTCTACTGCACTCAGCATTGTTGTCGATGTTCGACCGGGCGAATGACTGTGTTTTGGAAGAGGTAGGACACTCACCGTCATGCATCCTTCTCGTTATATCTGACGTACTTTACCTTTTGTTTTCAACAAATTCCTTGCAGTATTTGCTTAATCTTATTTAGAACTTTGCCCTTTCCACTGTTCTAAACGAGGCGATCAGTCTTTTTGTCGTCATCTCATCATACTTCATGTCATCGTTTCAATTGTGTCTTTGTCATTTGGCGTTAGCTATTTCAAGCCCAGTAGGACATCCACTTATAGCAGCTGTAATTGGAAGCATCGCTAAATGGGATCGAGTGGGTGGTACTTTAGCTGTCTTTTTGTCATTTTGATTAGTTGAGTTCAGACGTCCCACATTTCAGCTTGTCGATGTGTTTTTGCACAGAGTGGATTTTGTCAGATTCCCACTGTTATCAAAGCAACTAGCCGGACATTTCACAATGATTCGGCAACAAATTGAGACTCTCACGGGGCTTCCTAATATTCTGCGATTTCTTTACGAAAAGTCGTTCAGCGAGTCAAAAGTGAGGAATTTGTTGTCTGCTACAATGTTGTGAAAAATGTTTTCTGTTACATGAATACTACCGTTCTGTTTTCATGAAATCCTAGATTTTATAATTTTTCTTCTCAAATATTTGACTTTTGCCTTACATATGTAAACAATAATTAATAGTGGGATAGTAATATGATAATTAATAAGAGGCAACAATAGCAGTTAACTGTTTCAATCTAACAAGTTGTAGGATCCATGGAACGTCTCAGTGACAGCTCAGGATGTCATGGTTAGGTTATCGAAGGAGCTTGCAATTCCTAATGTGCACAAATCCCTAGCAAGCACTATTGTGCAGTCTCCCATGCGGTAGTTGTCTCTTCCATCCTTTTTTTTGCTTAATTCTGTTTTGTTTTTCTAAACGAGTAGTTACTAATTATTTTACTGATTAAGTTTTCGTCGGCGTAGTGCAATGTGTGCTTGGGACATGTCGGATGGCGCAACGGATGCCATTTGTATTCGGGTTGATGGTGGACGTATAGCTCTTCGTGGGGTAGCAGTGTACTTGCATGCAGAACAAGTTAGGAGGACGTGGCATTGTGAGGTGAGACTTTGTGAGAGTTCACTATTGAATACTTTACAGTCGTATGAAGTGAATGGTTTTGAATGTCATTATCCATAAAGCCTCTTTATTGTCTCAACCTGTTTTCTAATAGGTGCATGTGTCTTTCAATTTTACCAGTTCTCTCCTTAAATCACCTCTATCACCTACAGTCCCGTTGATCGTCGACTGGCTCGAGCGGGCTCCACTAAATCTTCCACTTTTCCCTATCGCGTGCAAGAGTAGCCCAGTAGGTTCTGCTTGCTCTAGGTACTCGTCGAGCAACATATCTTTCTTCTACGCTCCTCGTAAAGAACTCTGACCATCGGATCGGTGGTCTTCCTGTAGTACGTTTGACATCCCAAGGAATCCAGTCACTAACGACTCTTGTCCATCGGTTGTCATTCATACGCATTACATGTCGGGCCCACCTTATCTTCGACTGTTTGTCCTTGAATAGATTTCATAATACCTTATTTTAGATATACATGCTACGAGATCCTGATCAATTTTCTCTTATAACGAGAACATCTTGCGAACTGAGCAGTGGTGGAGCAGCAGATACTGGTATTATACTTCTGCCTGACTCTATCTCTATAGAGGTAGGAGTGACTTATGCAATCAAGGTGTGGACATCAGAGAATGGAAGAACATATTGTGGGGAAGGTAAAGAAGTTTTTTTGTATCATAGCCACAGTGAACTTCAACATTTTAACTGCCACGACCGACTTTCTATTAACCTCGGCATTGATCAAGTAATTTTCTTCGTATTTTTGTTGAGCAAACGCGAGGTGTTACTATTCTTTGTTCACGATTAAGCTGACGTTTCGGTGGATTTCGCCTTCCTCAGAGCCTGGAAAGGTCAAGTTGACAGCAACTCACTCGGCCAGACGCCTCCATAACCAAACAAAGAAACTCCAAACCAAGATTTCAATCACTTTGAACACAGCTCTGCACACTCACCGCTTTCTATGAGGTTTCCACTAAGTATGTCACGCAGAGACCAACCGCACAGAAATCACGTGGATGTATAATGTGCCCCTCACATCAGAAAAGCAGTTTTATATACTGCCCTATATCACGCGTGATAATGAGGCATTCTTCCCTGCGGTTCATTTTCGGATTTCTGGAACTAATCCAGAGTGCCTCGAGAGTTTTTCGCGCCTGCGTTTTTGATTCGCGTGCGAGGATCGTGACACATACTTCGAAGTCGTCCCCGTTATGTCTCTGGGTCCTATGCGTGCCTAGCGGGGTATTTGGTCTATTTTTGCCGGCTAGGTGTTCGTTCATGCGGACACAGAGGGGTCTACCCGTTTCGCCAATGTATTCGTCACCACACGTCTTNCACGACCGACTTTCTATTAACCTCGGCATTGATCAAGTAATTTTCTTCGTATTTTTGTTGAGCAAACGCGAGGTGTTACTATTCTTTGTTCACGATTAAGCTGACGTTTCGGTGGATTTCGCCTTCCTCAGAGCCTGGAAAGGTCAAGTTGACAGCAACTCACTCGGCCAGACGCCTCCATAACC